CAAAATTAAAATGTGATTCAAATTCCAGGGGCAGTGTCATCAGCCAGGTCATCTGAGGAATATCAATTGTAAAGAAAATCGGCTGAACGGTTTAGCCGCTAGCGTTGTTCACAGACGGACAGACTGACGTTTTGCCGTCATTCGATTTTTCGCTTTGAAGGACCCACAAAGCATATATTCTGGCTACACCACATGTTAGAGGATTTTTTTCTAAATTTAGCAACTGGATTTATCCACTTTTTCGTTACCATGGCCCTGTAATAAGAGTTTTTCTGCCGAAATTTCAACGTATTTTCGCGAAGCATTTCATAACTTTCTTTTAATCCGTAAAAATATTTTCGGATAATTATTAAAACGAATAAAAAAGGTATTCCAGCATAAGCTGAGTTGAGCCCGTCATTCAACATAATGTGTAATATGACATATTCGACCAAAACATTTGGAATAAATTCCATCTTATTGTACCGATCACACTAGATTCGGGTAATCCTAGGATGGGGAAATGATGGGAAACTAGGGGGCGGATTTTAAAGAAATGTTATTTTTTCTTTTCACTTTAGAACAATACCGTTTAATATTCATTTTGTGTTATTATAAAACAAAATGACCCATTTGTATGTCACTTTTTTTGCATTTTTTGTCAATTTTGACTAAAAAGTTATTTTGTACCTTTTTACGTTATTTTACTGCATTTTTCGCTGATCTTCTTTTAATGGTTTCGCCATCCTTTAATGGTACTTGCTTCAAACAATATTTACTAGGCTCAACAAAAATTCACCACAGAATTCCTGAGTAGACTATTCGATTTTTTCACTCATAAATTGCAATGCCTGCTGTTGTAAGTACTATGTAATCTAATTTTCCTGTGACATTTCTCGATGTCACTGTCAGTTACGCCGATTTCGCTATAAATAAAAACATATATTTCCTTTCGAAGTCCAAACTCAAAGTTTGCAAGCTGAGTTCACTTTAACAAAAGGAAAAAGCCTCAATCACAACAATAAGATATCCAACGGAGTTTATCTGAAATGGTTTTAATAAATTTTTTACGTCATTTTTCTTTGCTTTTATGGAATTTGTAAAGCATATTATTGATTATTTTTGGTAGTGTTTTAGGTCATTCAAATACGCCCCTGATAATAACTAAGGAGCGAATTTTGATGACCTAAAACATCGCCAAAACTGATCAATAAAATGCTCCTAAAGTGTTTTGAAAATGCCCTAAAAACAAAGAAAAATGACGTAATTTTTGCTTAATCAAAACAAATTGAGATGCGCAATTCAAACTGTTGGAGATGTTACTGATGTAATCGCAGTGTCAGATCAAAGGGTGCCATGCAGCTTCGAAAAGATCCAGAGAAAAAAATAAAATGTTAAAAATGCAGGAAAAATAAAAACGAAAAACACAAGAAAAAAATTGTAGAAACGTTTAAATGTATCGAAAAAATAACCGCGCGTTCTGTCCTCATCCTTTTAGTTACGAGTGGAATTGTGATTCTCGCTGAATTTAAGTCGTTGGTACGTATGGAAAATGTCTTCCGACTGTTCTCCAGAGGTGACAGCTCGTATCTCTTTCTTATCCGCTAGACAAGCGTTGTTACGGTGACTACGACATATTAGAGTGTGGCCGACGCAACTAGTGTTGACGGAGTGAGGTCTAGGTGCAAAACAAGTGATTGTGGGCCGCTGTGATATTTCGTGCAATTTCGGAGTGCCGAAAACGAAACAATAGGGCATGGATCGCTTACATGTGCCTGGAGACAGCGCGGTTAATAAATACTTGCGACGAGGAACAAAATATCTAAAATGAATAAGACGAAAAGAGAAAGAAATCTAATAAAAATAAAAAGTAGAAAAGGCTTGAGACATATTTTGTGAAATCCCGGCAACTTTCTTCAATCCGGGCCAATAATGTTTGTATGTAAGTAAATGTTTAATTTGTAAATCGATATCATGCCTTTTTATTTAAATTCTAGCTGTTCACATTGGTATCAGAATGAAAAATATAATACCCTAAACCTTCGTCATATTTCAGTTCTGAATTGACGTTTTCAATAACAAATTATTACTATTTTTTAAATTTAGAACCATAAAGTATTCATTTAATATTAAATTCAATATTTTAATTTTGTTAAAAACACTTTATGATAAACAATTTATATTGTTTATAATTTATGTTTGCTTATGTAAACATGCATACATAGAATCCCCCCCCCCCAAAATTCGTCTCAGCATTCGCCCTGACGTCAGATATTAAAATAAGATTTTAATGTGATTCTGGGAAGGCCTATCTGTACGAGAACGCCGGACTTTCCACGAAGGGTTACGATTTCGAATTTCATCTAAATATCATATAAGCGTTGAAAGAGAAACAATTTAAGACTTATAGATTCTAATAGCCGGTCCGGATGGCCGAGTTCGGTAAGGCAGTAGTGCCGTAGCGATCTAGGATCGAAGGATCGCGGGTTCGAATGCCGCCTCGAGCGTGGTTGTATTTATGTTCGTCCTTTCACCACCTCATCATATCGTGTCATCCTCATGGTTACCATACCGTTACACACAATAGTCGTTGCTAATGACCTAGTAGTTGACGCAACCTTAAATAACAATAAAACGATTCTAATAATAAAATTCGTAAACGATGAAACTGTATCTCCTCTCCGAAGATATGTAACGTAGCGGATTATCGTTGTCATTTATCCTTTGTCTCTTCCTAGCAACGGGGTATCATGTTAAAAAGACCCTGGATAAAAAGCAAAATGTTTTGTGAGGTCGTGGAGACGATATTGAGAGCTTCACGGTCCCGAGGATAGTGGGTTTTATGCAATAGTGTCCATGATTTGCTAAATCAGTTTCTCTGAATGTTTAAAACATTTGATGTAAGTTATGAGATTTGTCTTGTCATTAAAAAGTCTTGTAATAAAAGTTTTATTCGTGTTGTGAATGACTACAGTTTCTCATAAGAAGAAGCTGACGACGGGACTTCCTTCCTATGCGGCTGTTAATGTAATAAATTGTGAGAAGAACAAAAGAAACATTAACTGCCATGTATAGTCGGGTAATGACTTTAAACGTACTGAAAGCAATTTTTTTCTTGAATGTGACTCAGAAGCAAAGTACGCGAGAACATCTTATATATGCAAATGAATATCATTGTGGCTATATGCACACGATCATCATTGTTGTTTATATAGTTATGTATAGTTTTGTTATGTTTGTGTATATTATACTAATTATTATTTCCAATAATGGAATAATAAAATAGCAAGTCTGGTGAGAAAGATTCATGATTGTTCTGTCGTATTTCATTATGTCGTGGTGATCATATTCAATATTTCCTCAAAGCAGTCACTGGGCATTCTAAAGTTAATATAAAAACGTCCTTAGTTGTACCAAGAAAGGAAATTCTTTGTACGTTTTTATTTCTAGGTCAATATCATGGATATATTTTCATCGTTTTCTAAAGAGATATTAACAGTTAAAGAAAAACAGAAAAATCAAATTGTAAAGTCTTGAATCCGATCTAAACACACGGAACAAACTCACATTTGCTAAATAATATTGCGTTCTTGAAGTGTCAATCATATGACAAAACAATTATCAACTTTCCATATCCTTCAGTCTCTTACCTAACATATCTGTGAACGTCAATCAGTCCTCTAGAATGACAACCTTGAAATGATTTCATACTCTTGCGTTTTGCAGGAAAATATGAAAGTTGTGTAAAATAGTAAAGGTGTACAACTAGTTACACGCTGGAATAAAGTAACATTCGTATTGTACTAAATGAACTCCTAAGATTCGTTAGTGATTCCGGTCGCGTCAACAGCTATTGTCTCTTTTTGTTGATATTTTAGGACGCATCAACATATAGGTTATTACCAACCACCATTCGATTTAACGTTATGGTAACTGTGAAGGTGACATGATAAAGTGATGATAGAGGTGAAAGGACGAACACAAATGCAACAAGCCCGAGGCCACGACGCCAGATAGCCACGACTCTACTGCCTCAATGATCTACTACGACACTAACGTCTTTAGTCCGTAAGTGTAGTGCATGTGTTTTCCTCGTGAGGCGGCGGTGACCATCCCTGGCAGGGTGGTGAGATCCGGCATCGACTTACATGTTGATTATTGAATTGAATTGAATTTGCCTTATTTTACGTGGCGAGACTCGGGCCATCAGGCCCGCTCTTCCGCCTGACCACGCAAATTTCGCTACGCTCCTTTCACCAACTAGCGAAGAAAGGAGGTATTTCTTGGGCGACGGAACAGGCGATTTGAATTTATCTCGGAGGCGTCATTTAGGCTTGAGGATCTTTTACATGCAAGTAAATCTACGAACATGGGACAGCCGGCTTTACTTCCCCTCCGAAGGAAGGCGTACGAAGGATTTTTTCGCCCTTAAAAATCCACGGTTTGAACCCGCCAACTTGAGTACAACAGTCCAGTACGCTAACCGTTACACCATCGCCGCCGCGGATTATCGGAGTTTTTCCCAAGTATCTCTGATAGGTAGTTTTCCGTGGTTCGGTCAACACCAGGCGAATGGCGGAGCTGTAGCCTAACAAATTGGACATGGATCGCGAACTACATTTCCACCCTCTTAATTGCCCTATCATCACCCCTTATTTATATATCCTTGCACTCACATGCACTCTGCCAGGAGACTAGCTGGGACTTTAGAGCTTCCCGCGGTTCGGTAGATGCCCCGCTGGGGGGAGATACCTTGTTCGGGAAAATATTCGCAAGCTGACGTAAGTCGGCGCCGTATCTCACCATCCATTGAGGTAAGATCACCGCCTGCACAACACTTACGGGACAAATGGCCTTTGTCGTTGTCGCGCTCGAAGTCCCCAATCAATCCAGCTCGTGACCTTGAAGCGGAACCACTTTTAAATGGGAGTGTATCCATGAGCTGTTTTGCAGGGCCGGGGCCATGGAGGGCGTGCGGTGGGCGCTGGCGGCGGTGCTGGCGGCGGCGCTGGTGGCGCTGGCGGCGGCGGTGGCGGCGTGGGCGAGGCGGCGCGCCCGCTACGTGCGCCTCGTGGACCAGATGCCCGGGCCCCTCGCGCTGCCGCTGCTGGGCTCCGTCGTCACGCTGATCGCCACCAAGCGACAAGGTACGGCGCGAACACTACACTTCCATTTTTATAATAATCGATTATCAAAATTGAGACATCGACCTCCAAAACACCGTTGTATTATAGCCTAGGCTATCCGTCTTTTTCGTGTGGGCTGACGTTTCGACCAACAGGTTGTGGCTTTTCTCGAGCGCCAATAGTACGTTCTCAGAGCCGTGTCTCTGTCGTGGAGGCTGACGTTTCGGCCAACGTGTTGTGGCCGCGTCTCTGTCGTGGGGGCTGACGTTTCGGCCTACATATGCCTACATATGGCCTTTCTCGAGCGCCAATAGTACATTCTCAGAAAGGCCACAAGATGTTGGCCGAATTGTCAGCCACCATGATAGAGAAGCGGCCGGTCCCGGATAGTCTATACAATATAAACTCCGGCCGTGGAAACCTACGCAATCATCGATGGTTCTAACACTGGATTAGTCATCTTTGATCCTGACCAAGGGGTATTCAATTCAAAAAATGTCTCGCTTATTAACACTGTTAATCAGGATTTCACTGGCAAAAGAAAGTCAAAAAATCATTAGGATAATCAAAAAACCTTGGATTATGTTATTCAAAAATTCAAATATAATACAGTTTTCTTTATTGACGAAAACTATTTTATATATTTCCAATCTTGGTCACGTTCTGTTAAGATCGTTCATTTAATGGATATCTGAAAATTATCATAGAATCTTCTTATGATGTACTTTTTACATTTTAAAAATATATCCGCCATGTTAAAACATCGAACACAAAACTTCGGATTCAAAAAATCTATGTTAAACACATCAATGATATTATAAACATATCGATGCTTTGAAACTGAATATTGATACGAATAAATGTGATCCTGCAAAAATATTCGGACGAGTAACGAAAAGGAAAAAATAATTAAAATAAACACAACCCTGATATTCAGCTGCTTGTTCTTTAATGATTAGAACATTGAGAACAACAAATAATTTTATAATTTTTACTCGTGTTTACATTCTATTTTAAATCATTAAGACCTTCTGTTAATAGAAAACTTTTATTATTTCTATTAATAGAAAAAATTATATTGATAAATGAATTTCAGTTTACTGTGAGTTTTTTTACTAGTTCTTCGTCTGCTAGTTTGTTGGTTCATCAGACACATCCGACTATCAATGACCAAGTATTTGATGTTAGACGATGACATGTCTTGGACGAACGTGTTGCTGTCCCAGTTGCGTGATGGCGGCGAGTGTGCGTTGTGCGCGTGTGCGTTGTGCGCGTGTGCGTTGTGCGCGTGTGCGTTGTGCGCGTGTGCGTTGTGCGCGTGTGTGAGGCTCCGCCCGCGCTCAGATCTGTTCCAGGTGTTCGACGGGCGAACGCGCAAGTATTGGCCCGTGATGCGCACCTGGAAGGGCCCCATGGCCGACATCCACCTGTCCAGCGCGCGCGACATCGAGGTAAACCGCCAAACTCCTTCGCCACCTCCTCCGCTTAGCACATTGCTCATGTCTGTAGCTCTCGTCATTACTGATTATGGCCTAGTTGTCTTCCCCTCACATTAAATGACAATACAATAGATTGGTACCACCCTAACAAACCCATTAAATACTTCGGTTTATACCTAGATACCAAGTTAAATTGCGGCTCAAATGCCAAGGCGGCTCAAACTAAAATAAAACTGTCAAAGCACCGACCTTTAATCTACAGGAGCAATCCAATATATTACAAATCAGCCATAGTAATTTACGAAACTATCTTAAGACCGCTATTGATATATGACAGACCAGAAATTGGGATAGACTCTCGCCTTTACTGATTACGATCTAGTCGTCTCACATTAAATACCAAAACAATAGATTGGTACCCCCTAACAAACTCATCAAATGCTTAGGTTTATTCTTAGATACTAAGTTGAATAGGGGAAAATGGATAAATGCCAAAGCGACTCAATCCAAAATAAAACTGTCACAGCTACGGATTTTAATCTACAGGAACAGTCCAATATACTACAAATCAGCCATAGCAATTTACAAATCAATCTTAAGACCGCTAATGCCACGTTACAGCCTAATTTTGATCGACTCACGCCTTTGCTGATTACAAGCTAGTTGTTTCCCCCTCACGTTAAATAACACTACAATAGATTGGTACCACCCTAACAAACCCATTAAATACTTCGGTTTATACCTAGATACAAAGTTAAATTGCGAAAAATGTATAAATGTCAACGCGACTCAAGCCAAAATAAAACTGTCAGAGCAACGATCTTTAATATAAAGAAATAGTTCATTATACCACAAATCAGTCGTAGTAATTTACGAAACAACCTTAAGACCGTTAATGCTATATCACAGCCCAACTTGGATCAACTCTGCCAAAACTAACATCCACAAGCTACAAATTAATTTACTTCAAAATAATTTTTTATGAATAGTTGGCCATGCCCCTTGGTATATAACCAAAAACCAATTCCATAATGAATTTAACCTGGAACCTGTAGAACAACACATCACACATCTGGTCTCCAACTTTTATTATAACCTTTTATATATTCAAATCCCAACTCTTTCATCTTTCAAACTGGACAAAAACATTATGTAACAAACAAAAATAAAACACAATTATCCATACCAATTTTCCTAAAAAAAATTTGCAAATTTTGATCCCTGCGTAACCTGCAGACCCCTAACGGGTATTTCGCACCCTATGTAAGTTATTTTTAAGTATAGTAAGTACGTCTTTTAATACATATGTAGTTCTATTTACTGAGCTATGTACTTTCTGCAAGAAAATTAATAAACAATTTAAAAAATGATTAAGTTGTTTTGTTAATTTAATTTCTACGAGATTTCTTTGAACACTACTACTGTCATCTACTGAATATTTGTTATCGTGTGAAATAAATAGTGGAGGGTCAGATAGAAAATGTGCTATATGTCGTAATCAACGAATTGTTATCGTTGTAATCGTCATTTTTAATTAAATTCTAACATATTTTAAATAATTAAAGAAAGAGAAATTTTAAAGCATGTTTCATCTTTTCAGGTAATCCTTGGCTCCACAACTCACATTGACAAATCATCTATCTACAGCTTCATCCGCCCCTGGCTGGGGGAAGGCCTCTTGACGAGCACAGGCAAGTCACAAGCATACTATTATACTTTCCGCATCTATTGTCAATTCAATTCTAGCGCCAATTCAATTCTAGCGCCAATTCAATTCTAGCGCCAAATCAATTCAGCGACAATTCAATTCTAGCGCCAATTCAATTCTAGCGCGCACAATTCAATTCTGAGCGGCCAATTCAATTCTAGCACGCCAATCTCAATTTAGCAATACTTTCTAGCGCCAAATTCAATTCTTACGCCAATTCAATTCTAGCGCCATTCAATTCTAGCGCCAATTCCAATCTAGGCGCCAATTCAATTCTAGCGCATCAATTCTAGCCATTATCTAGCGCCAATTCAATTAGCGCCAACATTCAAATCTAGCGCCAATTCAAATCTAGCGCAATTTCAATTCTAGCAATCTCAATCATAGCGCCAATTCAATTCTGCGCCAATTCACATTCTAGTCGCCCAATGTCAAATTCTAGCGGCCAATTAATTCTAGGGAATTCTCAGCGCACATTCAATTCTACGGCCAATTCAATTCTAGAGCCAATTCATTCTAGAGCCAATTCAATTCTGAGCCAATTCAATTTTCTAGAGCCATTCAATTCTAGAGCCAATTCTGCAATCTCTAGAGCCAATTCAATTTAGAGCCAATTCAATTCTAGAGCCAATTCAATTCTAGAGCCTAATCAATTCTAACCAATTCAATTCTAGCGGCCTAATTCAATTCTAAGCGCCAATTCAATTCTAGCGCCAAAATTCAATTCTAGCGCCAATTCAATTAGCGATATCGCGCCAATTCAATTCCTAGGCGCCAAATTCAATTCTAGCGCAATTCTAATCTAGCGCCAATATTCCCAAATTTAGAGCCATTCAATTCTAGAGCCAATTCTAAGCATTCTTTAGGAGCAATTCAATTCTAGCGCCAATTCAAGGTTCATTAGCGCCAATTCAATCTAGCGCCAAATTCAATTCTAGCGCCAATTCAATTCTAGGCCAATTCATTCCTAGCGCCAATTCAATTCTAGCGGCCAATTCAATCCAAGCGCCAACTTCAATATCTAGCGCAATTCATTCTAGCGCTTACATTCAATTCCTAGCGCGCAATCAATTTCTAGCGCCAATTCAATAGCATTCTCTAGAGCCAATTCAATTTCCTAGCGGCCAATTCAATTCTAGGCGGCCAATTCAATTCTAGCGCCATTCAATTCTAGAGCAATTCAATTCTAGCGCCAATTCAATCTAATTCTCAGCGCCAATTCAATTCTAGCGCCAATCATTCAGAATTTCAGACTAGCCAAATTCAATTTCTAAGCGCCAATGTCAATTCTAGCGGCCACATTCAATTCTAGGCGATCATACGCGCCAATCAAATTCTAGCGAACCATTCAGCGCAATTCCTATGCGCCAATTCAATCTAGAGCAATTCAGCTTCTAGAGCCAATTCACTTCTAGAGCCAATTCCACTTCTAGCGCCAATTCCTTCTAGCGCAATTCACTTCTAGCGCCAAATTCACTTCTAGCGCCAATTCACTTCTAGACGCAATTCAAATTCTAGCGCCACTTAAATTCTAGCGCCAATTCAATCTAGCGCCAATTCAATTCTAGCGCCAATTCAATTCTAGCGCCAATTCAATTCTAGCGCCAATTCCAATTCTAGAGCCAATTCAAATTCTAGAGCCAATTCAATTCTAGAGCCATTCAATTCTTAAGAGCATTCCAATTCTAGGCCAATTCAATTCCTAGCGCCATTCAATCTAGCGCCAATTCAATTCTAGAGCCAATTCAATTCTAGAGTCAAAAGTTTAACTGTTTTTCCAGGAAGCAAGTGGCATTCACATAGGAAACTGATTACACCCACATTCCACTTCAAGATTCTAGAGTCATTCCTTGAAGTGTTCGCTGAGAACAGTCATATATTAGTGGAATCTATGGAGAAAGAAGTGGGTAACACTGGCGGCTTTGACATATATCCATACATAACCCTTTGTACTCTTGACATCATATGTGGTGAGTAAAAATTATTTTAACTGTGAGTTACATTTATAATTGACACCAATCCTAAGTAGTACAGAAATTAAAAATTGAAAGTCAGAAGCAACACAGAGCAGGAACGTTTTAGATCATAGAATATCGAAAAATATAACAAAGACATTTCATTACTGAGCACTTCTAAATACTAATTATTCCACCAAATCACTCCAAAAGCGAATGACAACGTTTCAAAAGATTTCGAGTTCACTGAATGAAGTATCCATTCTTTTTTCATTGTCATTCTCAGATATCTAAAAATTGTTTTTACTTTCTCGTATTTTTACGTATTTCCGGAGTAATACACGTAGTATACAGAAAGTTACATAATGCTGCGGAAAATCGATTTCGATATTATATACGTTTTTGAATCCCCTGATACAGAAAATACAATATGTTTGTTCAAAACGTCGTCTATCAACAACACTTGCGTCTAACTACTCCTAAGATTTTTTCCAAATTGAATATCTCAGGTCGATGTGACCCGACTCGAATTTCAGCGGTTTTTTCAAATTAAATTTGAAAGTAATTGTTCTTTGATTAATTAAAATTAGTTGTTTTTTAAGTTAATGACATATACAATTTGTCTTAGTTAATGACATGTACTTTTTTGAAAATGTTGGTAGTTTCTCGGTGTTTTGACTGAAATATGGATAACTAAATATACTAATTATTATTGAACTCGTCCATGTCTTCCATCCTATTTTTTTGTTATACGGTCTAGTACTTATATATGCATACATTACAGGATAGTGATAGCAGGAAGTGTTGTGAAAGTTATGCTGTTTACATGAAATCCAAATATTCTTCTTAATAGAAAGCTCAGGCGTAGTCCCATCGTATTATTAGTCAGTGGTGTTTTGTTATATTCTGATCAAAAAGTGCATTAAAGTGTGTTCCTAAAATCGGTTGTTTATGTTGTGTTTTTATTCGAAAAGATTTTAAATTTTTTTATCTCTCAGCTTTTAACCTTGACTTGATAGTAGTTTTTGCTTTATAGGGTCTTACTCTAGTAAACGTAAAATTGTAAAAGAAAGACGTCTATAATAAATATATCATTTATTATAATTATTTAACATGTGATGAGACAACATGTGAACTTTGTATTGACAACTAGTGACTACTTCTGTACTTTGTGACAATTAGTTACTAAGTATGGAAGTAAAAGTCCATGTTGCATCATCAAGAAAGAAAGCATACTGATGTAAAAAATGTTAGCTGAAAAGTAAATTGAAGATAAATAGATTTTTCCTTTCCTTTTATCTGGGCTGAAGAAATTGACTAATACAGTGATGGCAAAGATGTGTATAAGATTCCTGAGAGCTTTAATGATTCTGAAATGAGTAAACGTTGATTTCAAATTAGGAATAAGAGAAATTAAGATTTTAGACAAATGGGACAGATACTATTTGATAAACTAGTATTAGTGGTTCTACAGAATGGCACAGACTTTTTCGTACTAGTTGGTTTCCTTATCCCAAACAGTTTGGGTCATCTAGTGGGCTAGTAGCTCCTAAAACATTTTTTCAGGTTTCTTCAATTTATCGAATACATAATATAAGAATTGAAATACGGCTTAAAGAATAATATACACTAATTATAACGTATCATCTTCTATGAACAATACAGTATAACGGTTTTCGTTTGCTTCCAGAGACGGCGATGGGGTCACAGATCAACGCCCAAAGGGGCGGCCATTCCGACTACGTGAGGGCCATCTACGAGTGAGTAATTTCTCCCCGCGGCCGCTGGGCGGGGCTGGGTGGCGGAAAGCTACTTTCGCATGGCACACCCAGCCGCAGACGTTGAAACGTTGTTTCTTGACAAACCGTAAGGTAGTATCTGAAAAGCGTTGGGTGGCTCATTTTGACTGGAGACTCAACGCAGGTTGTCAATATCAACGACCATTCAAACGCAATTTTTAACGTGTTCCAGTCCAAGTAACTATAGTAGTTCATTTCGGTCCAGATAGTTAATATTACACTCCCTTTTACATGATCTGTTCATTATTTCTGTGTTGTAGACAATAAATAAATAAAATCAAAGTATTTATTGATGGCGAGGCTTGGACCATTTAGCCTGCTCTTCTGCCTGACCAACAAAATTCCAACAAAAATGTTAATACAATATTTACTGAAAAGAAGGTCATTCAAAGAAAAATACATACGCAATTCTGATGAGGGGTTTCTTACATTGAGGACAGGAATGAAAGCGAGGGAGGAAGGAGTAGATAGAAAAGGAAAACCTCTCACAGCATTTGTGAGATGAAATTAATTTATTTACTTTAAGTTAGGGATATTTTAAAGTTAATCATAAATATATTATAACGCTATGAGAATTTTCTCAAAATTAAATAAATTATATTCTCTGTCTCTGCAAATTATGTACAGAAAGGATTGGACGGATCTTGAATAGGTCAGTGAAAGGTTAATAGGTACAACTAAATGTTTCACACAGAAGTTTTGAAGGAGCTAAGATTGCGTACGTATTATTGAATTACCCCTAAAGAAGACTAGTAAGGGAGGGAATATCGTCAGCATACGAGCGAAAACACATCGAGTCAAGAGTTCAAGCCCTGAGAAAAATGGAAAACATTGGAAAATAATATATTTTATAACGATACTATTTGTATTTCGTAATAATAACAATAATATTAAAAATATTAATAGTATGATAATGTATTATAAAACTATTCACTTTTTAAATTAACATTCACATCTGCCGATAAAAACTAAAATAAAAATGATAAAATTTCGTACTAACAAGGTACAGACGTTGTGTACACTGTGTCTATATTACAGAGCCCCAGGGGTTTGCATGTTAACACGGTGTCCAGAGACGAGTTTGCGGAGTCAAAGCACAATATACATATTTGTACAGTAGCTCAGCTTCGTGTTAAATGCCTTGACGACGTGTTGGATAGCGATCTAGCGATCCGCGCGGCGAAAAAAGAACACTATGAGGATTACATTCAATACTACCTTCGTAATACAGCTTCGTTCTGCTAAATATGGCCCAAAAGGTAATGCTTATATATTTTAATTTCATCTCGAATATAATACAAACAACATGCGAAGTAGACGTTTTGAAATTTTTTTAAGGAAATGAATTATTATTTAATTCATTATTTAAATATAATGAATATTGTCCATTGAAAGTAAATAGAAAAATCATGAAAAAGATGAAGCTTATCTTTACTTTTCATGAAAATATCTAGAAAGGTAAGAAGTAAATAACGGTATCTTGACGGTAATAATAATTACGTTGCGTTCTTAAACAAGTTTTCGTCTTTCGTTTCTAGGTCTTTTGGAAAGGTAACAATAAACTACTTATGGTTCTTTTATTACTGCATACAATTGCTTAACAATGCAAACCTGAGGATAGACACAGTTATTCGTTTTTAAGCTGAAAAAGTATAAGAATTAAATTGGTGCATATCAAATATGTCTTGATAATCTCAAATAAATGTTTAAAACGTTAGTTTCATGTTATTTTACGAGTTATTTAATGACTTGCCCCTGAAATCCTAACATATAAAATCATAAGGTCAAGAAACAACACGAATCATGTTTTAAATTTTTGACCAGCTCTTAATAAATGGAATTTTGCAAACAAATCCTACAAAACATATACTTCAGTAGCAACAATCCGCAGTTTAACTTAGTCTCCACCAGGTGTCATAACTGTGTTGGATACTAACTAGACAAAAAAAGGATTGGGCTGCGCGACTGTATGATACGTATACTGTGGTAAAACCAGACAGCAGTCCATAGATGTTTTGAAGGGTGCAAATTCTCATTATGCAATGTCACTCTTGTGCATTTCAAACAACACTAACCACGGGGCAAAAAGAAATCAATCGGCAATCCCCATCCCTTTCATGCAGTCCCTCTGACCGGGAGGTCCTAGGTTCGAGTCCCGCTGGTGGCAGGATTTTGGGCACTAGCTTGTCAGCTAGGTCGAGATCAGTCGCTGTCTGCAGTATAATTCTAGTGGCCGGCTGCTCCTATTGCTAATTTTCCATGGCTTTTCCAATCAATGCCAGGCGAATGCCGCAGGGGTACCCTAAGAAACGGGCCACGGACAGCGCACAATCTTTCCTTCGCATTCCTTGTTTTATTCTCACCCCTTACTTACACACACTTGCCCACCAGCGTGGCTCTGTCCCAGCGGGGACAATCTCTAAGCTCCAGACACGTATGGTAGTACCGTGCATGTAAGTGTAAGATAGTATATGGGGTGAGGGTAGGGCAAGGAAGAGGAAGGAATAATCACGGGCGGTCCGTGGCCCGTTCGTTAGGGTACTACTCCAGCATTCGCCCGGGTTCGATCGGAGAAACCACGGAAAACTACCGATCAAAGCAGCCGGCCGCTAGTATTCTCCCCCGTCAGCGGCTGAATTCGACCACGAATCCAGTGTCGAAAACCCTGCCAGCGTCGGGACGCGAACCCAAGGACTGCAGCGAGGGCGTTGTCGGCAGCATCTCGGAGTGCGCGCTGGAGCGCGTGATGCGGCCGTGGCTGTACCCAGACTGCGTCTTCCGGCGCTCGGGGACCGGCAAGCGGTTCCACCAGCACCTCGCCACGCTGCATGGCTTCACCACCAAGGTGCGCCCTCCACGTCTTACAACACACACGGCCAGAACTTCACCAAACTACAGAGACACCTCATAAGTGTGCGAGGAGGAGCAAATTGAACAAACACTCAAGTTTAAGTGTGATAAATAAAATATGTTGTCTGGTATCAACAATTTATTGCGCTGATGATTGAATTGAATTGAAGTTGCCTTATTTTACGTGGCGAGTCTCGGGCCATCAGGCCCGCTCTTACGTCTGACCACGCAAATTTCGCTACGCTCCTTTCACCAACTAGGAGAGAAAGGAGGTATTTCTTGGGCGAGAAACAGGCGATTTGAATTTAGCTCAGAGGCGTCATTTAGGCTTGAGGATCTTTTACATGCAAGTAAATCTACGAACATGGGACAGCCGGCTTTACTTCCCCTCCGAAGGAAGGCGTACGAAGGATTTCTTTCGCCCTTAAAAATCCACGGCTTCGATTGGGTTTGAACCCGCCAATTTGGGTACAACAGTCCAGTACGCTAACCGTTACACCACCTCCGCATCTCCGCCTCCATGATCGTTTCGATCGCGTAGCGATCATCCTCAGAGCTAAAATTTGAAATAAATTATATTAATAAACATTTAGGGATAAGTTAATACAAATATTATATACAGGATGTAGACATTGCATGCGAGATGCGTAAGCAAACTGGGTCGTACAAACCTTGCAGCTTCCGGGCTGAAAACAAAGTTCTGCGGATTTTTGAGAGTGTGTCGTGTTTAACAACAGAGCCGGTCGGCAGCGGGCAATCATCAGCCAAATAAATTGTTGATACCAGACATCTTTTATTTTTCATACTTAAATAATAGATTTATCTACCTCACCACTCAAGTGACAAAAGTCATGGGAGACCTCCTGATACGAATATTGTGTCGCACCTGGTTTTGGCCGGCAAAGTGGCATGGGTTCAACAAGTTGTTGAAAGTCCGCTGCAGAAATATTGAATCATGCCTCCTCTATAACCGTCCACAATTGTGAATGTGTTGTCCGTGCAAGATTTTGTGCACGAAATATAATTTATATCATGTCCCATAAACGTCCGATGGGATTCATGTCGGCGATCTGGCTGATCTAATCATTCACTCAAATTCTTCTAAATATAATTCAAACCTATCGTGAACAAGTGTGGCATGGCACATTGTCACATTGTATAAAATTTCAATCGTTGTTTGGGAACATGAAGTCCATGAATGCCTGCAAGTAGTCTCCAAGAAGTTGAACATAATATTTTCTAGTCAACTATTTGTTCAGTTGAACCAGAGGATTCCGCCTATTCCATGTAAAAACAGTTCACACCATTATGGAGCAATCACCAGCTCGCACAGTGTCTTATTAATATCGTGGCATTGGTTCAACAAGTTGTTGGAAGTCTCCTGCAGAAATTTTGAAACATTCCTTCTCTATAACCATCCACAATTGTGAATATGTTGCCAGTGTAGGATTTTGTTCATGAACTGACCTCTCTATTATGTCCCATAAACGTCCGATGAGATTCATGTCGGAGGGGGGGGCGGCTAATCATTCACTCAAATTGTCCAAAATGTTATTGAAATCTATCGTGAGCAATTGTGGCCCGGTGACGTAGCACATTGTCCATCCATAAAATTTCCATCGTTGTTTGGGAAAGTGAAGTCCATGAATGGCTGCAAGTGGTATCCCAGTAGTTAAACATTACATTTTTCCAGTCAATAATTTGTTCAGTGAGACCAGTGGACTCATTTTTTTCCACGTAAAAACAGTTTACACAGTTATGGAGCAACCACCAGCTTAACAGAGTCTTATTGACAACTTGGGTCTACGGCTTTGATTCAGTCTTTGCCACATTTAAATCCTACTATCAGCACTTATCAACTGAAATCAGGACCTATCTGAGTAAGCCATTGGTTTCCAGTCGTCTACAGCCGGAACGATAAAGTCACGAGCCCATGAGAACCGCGGCAGGCGATGTCGTGCTATTAGCAAAGACAATCGACGTGTTCTTCTGCTGCCATAGCTCATTAAAGCGATACTTCGCCGTACTGCTTCAACGGATAGGTTCGTCGTAGGTCCAACATTGATTTCTGCGGTTATTACACGCAGTGTTGCTTACTTCGAGCACTGATAATTCTACGCTGCTCTTGGTCGTTAAGTTGAGGTCAACGGCCACTATGTTGCCCGTTGTGAAATGGTATGCCTGAAGTTAGGTAATATCGGCTCTCTCTTGGTGTTGTGGATTTCGTAATATTGAATTCTCTAAAGATTTCTCAAACCAAATGTTCCATTCGTCTAGCTCCAATTGCCATTTTGCGTTCAATGCCTATTAATTCTCATCGTGTATCTATAATTACGCCAGAAGCTCACGAATCACAGGAAAACAAATGAAAGCTCTGCCAATGCAGTACCCTTCTATTCCTTTTGTACGTGATACTGCTTCCATCCGTATATTTGCATATTGCTAACCCATGACTTTTGTCACCTAAGAGTAAGTAGTCAATATGAATAAAATAATAATCCGTTACCTTTTTGGTTTTAAAAACTAGTATTAGACTATAATTAACATTTATTAAGCCTTTATCTTTTATGTGATGATGATGACTGATACAAATTAATTATCGGAAGGGGGGATGCAAATGCAGTACTCAATCCACATGCACATTTTCATCCCTCTATATCTTTTAATGGAGGGCCCCAAAATGTTAATGCGGCTCCACACATTCGGCATTCGTCGAGTAGCGAGCGACTGCTCTCCCAAACCCGAGCGTTGAATGTGCTCGGCGAATGTTCGCTTGCTTCGATGTGTACAAAAGACCGACACGCGGTAGGTTGGACGAAAACCGAATGTGTTTCGTCGCTTGGGAAATAGCAAGCAACCCATCTACACTTCTCGGGATTCGGCGAGCAGTCCCTCAGTACTCGTGGAATACCGAATGTGAGCAGCCGCCTTTAGGTTAAGAATGAACGAAATTATTCATTTGACGAGAGTTACTTTCATATATTTAGTTGAGTAATGATACCATACACTTGCCACTTATACTTCTGAATTATTTATTGTGACTATTGAAAGAATTGCATAAACAAATTAAAACTTATTATTTATTTATTTTCTTTTTAAACTTAGGTCATTCAAGAAAGAAAAATCTTCTTAAAAAATAATTCTTCCGCCACGGCAGATGAAAACAAAGATGACTTTGGTAAGTGCAACATTGTTTAACTACCATATTGTGCCTCGTGAATATTTTATTAGATTTTAAGCACTAGTTAGTTGGTCAACATCGTACTTCGTGGGGGAAGAAGTTACCCCGTCCCTAACCTCATGTATTAACAAATACAATTCTAAGGAAAAATCGTAACCACTGTCAGATTAGTTCGCGTCTTATAATAATAACAATTCAGGTAACCACCGCAGAAGTAAATTTCGTCATATTCACAAATTTCGACGCTCCTTCTCCAATAAAATACAGTTCCCATTACCATACATGGGACAGAAATGTATTGAATGATAAAAACTACGTCATGCATCAAATTACCAGGTGGCGATAGAATAACCTATATGATGCTAAAAAATTACCCAAAAAAGCCATTTCTTTGCTTAATAGTGTATATAAACTCAATTTTTCATACAGGTTAATATCCCCTTACATGGAGAAATTCTATTATAGTTCTCATACGAAACCGGAGAAAAACCTCTTACAAACTAATAGCTACTCACGGAATATGTGAGAACATATTCCCATATTATACAAACATTTACAGCGCTTCATCTTAATAAGACTAAAATAATTTATAATAAATACGAAATGAGTACCCCTCCACCATTTTTGTTTCACTCCTACACATCAACTGCTTATATTAAGTGAACATATTCTCACGGAATTGAAACGAGGTCATCACACAGTGGCAGCTTTCTTAGAACTGTCTCAAGCATTTGATCGCGTTTGGCGCTAAAGACTTCAATACAAATTAATAAGTAGGTCTTCCTAAGTATTGTTTATATAATATAATAATACTGTTTTTAATCCAAAGATACTTTTGTGTAAAAATAAATACTATTATTTTAATACGCTTTAAGTAATGTCCGGAGTCCCGCAAGGTTCATGCAAATCTCCTATACTTTTTAAAAATAAACCGCAGATCTTCCATCAAAACATGACATAAATATGATCTACGATAGATAGAAATATGGTGTATAAAGTGAAGGATCCAACAAAAGTAAATCCAACAAAATCAGCTCCCCAATAATTTTAATCAACGCCAAAAATATGTTGGACTCCTAAGCACACCACGGTGAAATATTTAGGATTACATCTTGGCTCTCATATAACATGGAAAGCCCATTACGTGAAACTTAAACAAGCAAATTAAAAAAATCTCCGCCTCATAATAAAGTATTATTCTTCTATTCCTACAAAATTCACCCTTCTACTACACAAACCGCAGTGTGTTTCAATGCCGCTCTTACCTATGTACTCAAAATCCAGATATTTCAAAAAAAATCCTGAAATAGCCTCGAAAGCACCCTGGTTTGTAAGGAACAACTCCCTTCTCTCCGACATATAAATTCCCTCCATCACTTGTCACTGTGGTTGTTTGTTTTCTTTTTTAATATGAAAAAGGTTTAAATAGATCTTACCAACCCTTCCACCCGGAGATTTTTAAACTGATACCCTCTATTATTTCTCATACATCACGTTGACGTATCCTAAACCACTTAATATTTTGCAAATTCTCGACTGAGTTTCCTCCATTGATATTTAACTGATCTTTTTGTCTTGCCTGTGTCTATAAGTGTTGTTACGTATTTTGGTTACAACTAACATCTAAAAGAACCGAACGGACCAATCAAGTAAAGTTGTTTGTACGAAAAAAGCCGAGTTCAAGAATGATTTCGAAACCCGAAAAAACGCAGTACCAAACGCAGTGAACCAAATAATCAGCAGTTTGTGAGTATTAAATACGTTTCACAACAAGTGGCAATCACAAGTCATTGTTCTCGCAGGCGTCAAGCGTCGTCTGGCCTTCTTGGACCTGCTGTTGGAGGCGTCCAAAGGAGGCACCGTCCTCAGCGACGAGGACATCCGTGAGGAGGTCGACACCTTCATGTTCGAGGTGAGCATATTTTCTTTCCACATTTTCCACTCTCTCGCCCCCCTCTCTCTCTCTCACCCCTCCCCGCTCTCTCTCGCCCCCCCTTTCTCTCTCTCGCCCCTCCCCGCTCTCTCTTTCGCCCCCCTTGCTCTCTCTCGCCCCCTCGCACTCTCTCACTCGCCCCCCCTCGCACTCTCTCTCTCTCTCTCTCTCTCTCGCCCCTCCTCGCTCTCGCTCTCTCGCCCCCCCTCGCTCTCGCTCTCTCGCCCCCCCCTCGCTCTCGCTCTCTCGCCCCCCCTCGCTCTCGCTCTCTCGCCCCTCTCTCTGGGGCGTGCGCTGTCGTTGGTGCATTCCTTGCCCTGAGGTAACAATCTTTTTTCGCCGCAGGGCCACGACACCACCTCGGCGGGCATCTGCTGGACCCTGTTCCTCCTCGGCACGCACCACCATGTGCAGGTAACTACACGCAAGCTATCGTGTTGTTCTAGTCGATTATGAAACATGAAGTGAAACAATGCTTCTCAAAATCAAGGCTCACAATTTTTTTTATTTAATATGTTATTATTACAAACAAATTAGCTTACTTGATCCTATGTGACTAGGCCGAAGGCCTTTAAGCCATTACAGTACCAATATCCTTTCGCTTTCTAATCTTTCGAATTCTGGTATTCACCCCAAATGGTGTCTCCATCGCATCAAAGCCGCGGAAAAGAGACCATAAGGTGGTCAAATTAATACTATTCGCGATGCATTCTATGCGCGCAAGTTTTCTTGATATTCCCCAGCGGGGGGTGAGGGTAGAGGAGGGCTCTGGCAACGTCACGGCTTAAAAGGGCGTACCGACTGTAGGTATGAACTTCACGCGCCAAAGCGTGCCACGATAAATTCTATTATTGTTTTAAAGTTATAAGGTGATTGTTGGCAGCATTGTAAATTGGTACGTGCCGTTCCGAGTCGAACCTAAGTATCACAACGTGCCGTGCTATTCAGCGCTGGGTGAGGACTAGGGAGCTTGTCTATCAAGAAAACTTGCGAGAGTAATATGCAGATCCTCTGAGGCCTGTTTGTTTGGAATGTTTGAAGTTACTAAACTCGCTTTAAAATACAGAAGTTTAAAAACATCAATGGTTTTTGGGCAATATATTTTTAACATCAATGTTTCGCAACATCGATGTTTTGTTGTGAATGTCGCTTCACTACTGCATAAACGGAGTCCGATCAGGAAGACCGACACATGAAGCCCAAATACAATGTTGGGTTTAGACTATTTATTGGGGAAAAAATAATTATTTTCTCCGATGTAATAAAGATTTTTCAATTACATTTTATATATTTTTGCTCTCCGACAGATGGTGCAGACGGTGTTTTCTAATGATGAGCAGTAAGTCTCGATAGCCAATACACTTTTTTCTCAAATTTAAAGCGTTCAATGATACATCCACGCAGCAGATATGCTGACGATGGCTATCAGTCGAAATTTGCTAAACATTATATAGCTACGTACGCATGCACGGCCTGAGTCAATATTAGAGAAAGTTTCCGCGCAGGTAGGCTGGCAGTTGTGGACGAAACGTTTAGCCCTTCCAACTGGTCCACGGTCTTCCAGTCAGGAAACTTTCTCTGAATTAAAACAATATTCATAGCATTCACTTGAATTATTTATATAAATCAAACAACAATTCAGAAGATGATAACTATTCATTTAAAGTCCATCTTTTGTGTCGGTCGGGTGTGCTATGACCTTATTGTATCTTTTCAAATGAGATCCCTGCTGTTGAACAGCTTGGGCAATGCTAGCTTCCTAGAACAAGCTATTTCTAACTTTCTTTTATGTTTCATGTATTGCATTCTTTCAATAATACACATCGATATTTATGCCGACTTAAACGATACCATGTGATTAGCTATACAGAATGCTTGGACTGTGAAAAAGCTTTTATCCCATCTAGCCTTCAGATATAATATCTAATAACTATTTTTGGAACTAACTCTCTCAAAAAGTTACTCTTCGGAATGCCAAAGCGAATGGGAGAGCAGACAAGACGATCCACTAAAAAGCAAATCTCTTTCGCTTTTCCAGGAGAAGGTGGTGGAGGAGCTGCAGGCGATCTTCCAGGGCTCCGACAGGCCCCCTACCATGCAGGACCTGGCCGAGATGAAGTACCTGGAGCGCGTCATCAAGGAGACACTGCGCCTCTACCCCAGCGTGCCAATCATCGGCCGACACGTGACACAAGACGTTCAGATAGGTCAATACCTTCTATTACTATATTACTAAATGACTTCCATCACTTTATTATCAGTAATAGAAGACATTGGATAAGTACCCTGCATATCACGCCTATATTTTTTGTTATCGCTTTAGACGAATTCAGTACCAATTATATAGATGGGTCACTCTGCCCATAAACGGGCCAAAAATATACGAATAACGTGCCAGAGATAAATTTGGAGCAGCTAAAGATAAGAAATAAACTTATAAACTGTACTCCGAGATAAAGAACACTACCTCTATTTTATGCCAGAATAAAGTATTTAACACGTTATTTATTCCAATACCATTGCTCTTCTGGGAGGTATTGAGAGTCCAAAGTACGTATATTAGTACTCAAAGTATTAGTAATAACGTAGAAATTGTAAGCCACGAAAGCAACACCTTGTCTGTATTCTTACATAGAAATACTCTTTGAAGTTCTCATTAGGTAAATGTAATATAGTGCCCTGCATATCCGAGGAAGTTGTGACAATGGGTGGGTATGACAAAACACGAGACCCGACAATTTGAAAAGGCGTATGAAATTAAAGATTTAAAAATATTTCAACTTATAAATGCCTAAATTTATCGGAAATCAAAGAGTAATTAAAGTGTAAAATATAGAATATACATCAGATCAATAGTAGAAGAGACAGTCAGATTCTCTCATATGCAAGTGAATTGGTAAACGAAGTGACTAGGGAATTGTAAACAGTGTATGTTAGACCAGGCGTGAGGTCATGAGGCGAAAACACACGAGCTGAAGATATGAAGGTCAAATGATAACCATTATTTCTGGTGGGAGTTCGATAAGCAGATGAACTGAATGGTAGAAACGCATTCTATTTATATTGATAGTTGCCGCTTTAGAGAATATGTATTACCATGAAGACAAATACCATTTTGGGTAGCTACTACCATGGCCAATTTATTATCAGCAATTCCATATTTAAGGATTGATTTAGTACAATGAGTATGACGGGAATTTGCAATAGATAACGCTACCTCAAGCCGATTTTTCATATTCCATTTTATAATTTCACTTATTTTAGTAGTATTTGTAGCAACTCGCGCAACTTTTCTTGAACGAAGGATTGAAGAAATGCGGGTAGAGTGGGGATATTAGTTACGAAATCGGCCACTAGGTTTTATGAAGTAATGCCAATCTCTGGAGAATCAGTCATGCCTTGGCAACTTTGTCAATAATTTGCGTTCAAACTTTCTAAGGAGTTCGAGGTATCTCCTGTGATGGATTTTCACTAGCTTTGGACATTTCATTAGATTTTTGGGAGAAAACCACGGACAGAAATTTTTGTCTTTAACAGAAAACAGTTTCTATTTCGCGCCAGTGAAGATGGGTTTTTTAATGTTGTCATCAGTGCACGCTGCGAGCTTTTGCTTTCTCTGATTTTTGTGACGGGGAAGACAAGAAAAGTTGCGCGAGTAATAATACACCTATTCCTTCTTCAAATGGATTCTAGTAATCCAAAGGAATTAATAGGAACGGATAATATCCTATTTCTTCTAATGTATATATTTATTTTATTATACCCGATAAACAGGATATGGATGTTACTATTTTGATTTTGAATAATTTATTTATATTGTTACCATTATTATAATGATGGTAACTATTGCGTTCCATTTTATTATTAGATGTATTCAAGTATCCGGAAGGTTGAACGGTTTAGCGAAATGAAAACAGACAGATAATCAGAAAACATAATTTTTGTTTCAGTAATATTCATATTTTGTTGATTGCTTCCCACTGTTGAAACTCCATAGCTTCCCTTTGTCCCTTGGAATGTGTTTCACCCGATTAGTAACTGGAACTAATCAGGCGAGCAGTCGCCACAAAAACATATTGTGAATTAGGCGCCATCCGTGGTGACAACTGTCATGTTTGCAACGTTAAACGTTTTTTTTTTTTTTTTTTTTGTAAAAACATTGAACGTCAATTAAATTAATACATTACTGTTGGAAAGCCTCTGAACTAACAGATACTTATTTTCTTTTAGGAAATTACACTATTCCAGCTGGATGTGATGTCACAGTACATATTTATCACGTGCATCGGAACCCAGAGTACTTCCCTGAGCCAGAGAAATTCGACCCGGACAACTTCCTGCCCGAGCGGGTGCAGGGCCGCCACCCTTACGCCTACATCCCCTTCAGCGCAGGCTCCAGGAATTGCATCGGTGAGTTGATCAAGAAAGTTGGTGGGCTATCACTTATCAGTGTAATAAGATACATAATTAGATCCAGGAGAAAACTTCGTCATATAAAATACATAGAGAACAGTTGTTATGTTTGCAACAGTTACGTTATTTTTGAATTAAACATGTTTTCGCAGATGCATTATTTTAAGAACTGAAATGACAATGAGCAGTAATGTGGAAAGTGACGACTCAAAGTGCTAGGCAAAACGTTTTGTATCTTCAACTGTTTTCTTTTATGATATATTGAGGTACATGAGAACCACATCATACCAACGTTTAAGTAAGGCCAAAAGGAAATAAATTTTAGGCAAATTCAGAAGAGAATTAATAATTAAATATGTTGCCAATAGAATGGAATTTCTCCATTTGCAAAATGCTTGGTGTTCCTAAATCATAAAGATAACAACCAAGTGCTAATATGCGATTATCACATTCTAATACTTTTGCTCTTTAAGTTCTTACAGGTCGTGCATTATTAATTGTGTAAGCCAGTCTTGAAATAAGTTGATGCATTTTTAATAACCATCAGTCTGCAATTGAAAATCTGTCAGATCAGTTTGACTTCTTAAATTAAGTTTCTTGCCTACAAGCGGCCATTAAAGCGAGCCCATTTTTCATTCCACTAGCAATTACACACAGATGTAACGAGTTCAACTGTTACATTTTATATTTACTTTTCAACTCTTTCATCGTTCTGATTTGTCCACCATGACATATGATGAGATGACAGTTGTCAATTATAAAGTCAGTTTTCCCCCATAATGAGTATAATAATAAATCATTGGCACACTTTCATTCTTTACAGGAACTGAGTTTTTCTAACCTTTCATTTTTGACATAATGTCTTGTAAGACACTGATAATCTGCAGGTGAATTCTAAGCATTCTTGTTCTTAGCTTCATCAAATTTCACTATCGAATCACATTCAACGCCTGTAAATTAATTCTTTTTTTCAAAAAGTAGTTGTTTTTTCTCAATCTCCTGTATTATAAGTCGTAGTTTCAAAAATCAAAATTCACGAATCAAATTTACTTATGTGAATTTAAAGTCGTACTTTTAATTACTGATTTAGTCCTCCATGTACAATACAGCGCAGGATATTTCAAGAAAGCTTCAATATGTTCGTCCATCACAGCGGAAGTATTGCGACGGGGAGGTGCCGTATCTGTCCTCTTGTCCAACTCGCAAGTGACAATTACTACTTTTATAAGCTGATACTATTACAAAAATCAATATTTTAAAATTAGAAAGATGCAATATTTTGCAGCTAAATAGTTCTTGCTGTTATAAATAATAAAGGGACAAAGTTATGTTTTAATCATTCTGAGTAGCTGCAGTACTAATTATTATTCATAACGACTAGCGATTATGCATAAAGTCTTATTAATAATTACTGACCGTAACACATACGTACTAAAGACTTTTTTCCTTGGGACTCAAATAAGGAGATTTTTCTTGAATCTTACACAAAATTGTTAATCAATGAAACTACTAAACGACCGAAATTGTAAAACATTATGCCATTTCTGCTTCCTCTTGCTTCATGTAATACTATTTTGTACGTTCTCCAAATATTTCTTCTCGAGAAAGATAGTTGCGTCACGGCTTCTGAGAAGGCCTACGGGCGCAGACACAATGTTTGTCTGTGGTCAGAGGGGCTAAACAGGTTGACACCAAGGTGCGCATTGGAAAGTCAATATGAAGGCAATACTGAAGTCTCGTTTAGGAAACGCATAAAACCAAGTTAGACCTGGGTAACTATGTCCAGACTTCATGCAATATTTCCTGTTCAGTTCAGTGTAAGCCACCGATGACTGTACGGTTTGGCGATGTAATTTAACGTTCTGAAGTAATTTGCATTTGCGTTATATTTGCTTTGATGCAAACACTGAAATATAATTGTCAACAGTTAATCTATCTAATATTTTCTTATTCTTCAAAATTTTGTCATTAAAATCACTCATTTTTTTAATCTTCCCAGTTTGGGTTAAGACTAATCACAATCACCCACTTATACCGTACAGCTTCGAACTACATCAAATAAAATACATCGAACAAACATTTGCAGCATGTATACACGCAATAGTTACGCCATTCGGTATATGGAACATTTCAGCGCCGCTGAAGATATAATAAAGGAGAGAGTTAGTTAAGTGAAGGAAGGAAAATCACTCATCGATACAACAAGAACCGAAGTTTCATTCTTTGTGAGTCCACGAATCTTTGCTTAAAAACTGGCTTAATTTATAATTACTTTTTTTCTGTAACAAAAGTGATTCGAATGCGTTAAACAAGATAATAAAAATGGTTTTAAATTCAGGATCAACACGATTTTTTTAACAAAAAATAATTAACTTGACAGGTACTATAGTCAGTGTTGAGAAATTATTTTCTTCTTTTTTAATTCAATAGAATAAATTGTTCATTAAATGAGGTAACAGGCCACTGAAGATAAGGTTTAATACAACATTCGTTTATAGATTTATGGGGACAGTAATTTAAGAACTTAACATTTCAGCCTGAAGGTAACAAACGTGATCACAAAACTAGCAATTCTATGACTATTCTGTACATCTCTTCTTTCTGGCGCACTTTTCAGCAGCTTTATGGTATCTAAGATGAAGACAGGAATTCACAAAATGAGTCGTGTTCCAATGAGCAAGATGATCAATTTAAGAAAGAGTAGCTCAATCAAAAATATGTTATTCAGAACTACAATAATTTTAACTACTTGATTATGGTGTTTTTGAACTGGTTGTTCGAATCACCAACGTAACAACCGTTTCTGCGAACTACAATAATTTTGACACACGTTTCGCGCGAACTGGTTGAATGGCACACTAACTGTAGTCCCCTACCCAATCCCTAAAAATCCTGCTTCAAATCCCTGCGTCTCGCCTTGCGCCGCCATTAAAAGGATGCTCCGGTTGCAGGCCAGAAGTTCGCGCTGCTGGAGGAGAAGGTGGTGCTGTCGATGCTGCTGCGCCGCTACTCCTTCCAGGCGCTGGACAAGGCGGAGGACCTGAAGCTGATGGGGGAGCTCATCCTGCGGCCCTGGGGCGGCCTGCGCCTGCGCGCCACCCGCCGCGCCACCTAGCGCCAGCGCCAGTCACAGTGCCAATGTCAGCGCCAGCACCAGCAACAATGTCAGCACAAGCGCCAACGCCAACGGCAGCGCCAGTAAGCGTCGGCGCCAATACCAGCGCCGGCGCCAATACCAATACCAGCGCCAATACCAAACCAGCGCCAATACCAATACCAGCGCCAATACCAATACCAGCGCCAATACCAATACCAGCGCCAATACCAATACCAGCGCCAATATCAGCGCCAGCGCCAATATCAGCGCCCGAGCCAATATCAGCGCCAGAGCCAAAACCAGCGCCAGCGCCAATACCAGCGCCAGCGCCAATACCAGCGCCAGCGCCAAAACCAGCGCCAGCGCCAAAACCAGCGCCAGCGCCAAAACCAGCGCCAGCGCCCATACCAGCGCCGGCGCCCATACCAGCGCCAGCGCCAATGCCAATACCAGCGCCAGCGCCAATACAAGCGCCAGCGCCAATACAAGCGCCAGCGCCAATACCAGCGCCGGCGCCAATACCAGCGCCAGCGCCAATATCAGCGCCAGTGCCAATACCAATACCAGCGTCAATACGAATACCAGCGCCAGCGCCAATACCAATACCAATACCAATACCAGCGCCAGCCCCCGCGCCCGCGCCCACCCCCGCCATTTAACAAGGCATGCGCTTGCGCGCCTCCCGCCACTGCATCTTTACGAAGTAGGATTTATTTAGAGCAGCGCTTAAAGTAAATCAGCTGTTGGCGGTTTCATCCAATCGAGAGCTTATATGTCACTGCAGTGACGTCACTATGGTGACATTCAAGCTCCCGATTATATGAAACCGTCAACCGCTGATTTACTTCAAGCGCAGCTCTAAATAAATCCAAGTATGGCGCCCGCGCCACCGCCCTTCAGTTCTGGATCGCTCTTGATATTAATAAAACACATTTTTTCACAGCTACTTTTACCCTTGAGTTTCTCTTGTGTATTATTTCAAACAATTTTCATCCTACAAACAATTTTATTTCCATATTACCTTTTATTCTCTCTGAGATTTTGACGGCACTGCGTTGCTTCTGACCGAGGGGTTGAAGGGTTCGAATCGGAACGGTTTTCGACACTAGGTACGAGTTCACTGCCAGGTCGAATTCTGCCTATGTCTAGAGGCGAATTCTGACGACTGACTGTTCTGATCGGTATTTTCCCATGATTTATCCGATCAACGCCAGGCGAATGCCTGAACAGAACCCTAACAAATGGGTTACAGACCGCGCGCGATGTTTTCTTCTTCTTCCTTGACGCTTTCCGTTACTTACACTCACTTACATGCACTACACTACTTTAGATTTCTATATTAGTCAAAATAGAGTAAAAAACTGTATGTTACATTATTGGGGAGAGATTATCTGCACACGTTCTTGAGTTTCGAATCCCTTTCCCGTCATTTTATCTAAAAAATAGTGACAAGATGGAGTAAATGAGTTTAAAAATATCAATAAAATAAATGTTTAAAAATCACGAGATTAGCAAATTGTAAATTAATAAACAATTTCGTTTCGGAGTTGTAGAAAGCGTATTTGCATCGGTAAACGAGTTGCAAGTATGATTTTTCTGCATTGCTAACAAGAAAGTAACTCGCCCTTACTGGCTTGTAGGTTGGCACCAGACCTCATCATCCAGCAAGGAAACGTCACCGCCACATCCAGGGGAAAACATGCTTACATGTTTTTAACAAATAATAGACAATTCATTAATCTAGTTTCCAGTTCCTTATAATTCTTTCTCATTCTCTTCAGCGGAAAAACGCATCAAGTACTCTTGAGCACAATGTAACGTTTCAAGTACTCTTGAGCACCACGACATAACTTGTTGTATTGGTGATAAGAACAAAACTTACGTATTTTATATCAATTTACGACCACTTTTTTACAGTTCATCTGAGCTTTTGGCAAAAAATGTAAATTTACTTACAATTAAAAGTTTGTTTATAAAAATATAGAAAAATAAAAAGAAATGTTACTTATTTGAAATGTAGTTAAGCCTTTGCTAGCTATAGAACTAAAATTCTGATTTGAAATTCTTGATCAGAACAAATTTAAGACTACCAATCAAGCTCCTAATGCTATTGCATGTTTAATACTCTCTGAAAAGGTATTGAAACATGAAACATAGGGGAGTAGATTATGTAATGAACTCGTAACTTGTTCGCTCGTAAAGATTTTTTGGATTCTTGGAATAATCTATATTCACTCATAAAAATTGTCAGTCTCAAAAATTACATTTTGACAGAATGATGAAAAATATGTTTCTCGAAGAGGAGGAGTTCGTACGTCAAAATCGGATATAAAGCATAACAGCATAGAAGCGTCATGGATGGTATCAAGGTAATGAATCATATCAAAGTATCAGGTGTGTTCAAAGAAAACTGACTAAGATAGGAATGTTTACTTGTCATAAAACGAGCCGAAAATTGAGATAAGATGGTCCTGCAAACTATTTTCTTGTTCACTGGAAGTAACTGAATATTTGATACAGTGTCAGAAGAGAAGCAAGCATGAACATAATTCTCAGTTTCTTTCAAACGAATATTCATGTGTAAGGAGTAACACAATTGGTAAGAATACATAACACTATTTAATACTTCACAATAAGAATAGATAACCCACATTCCATTAGTTTTGTGAAAATGTGATGTTGCCACGAGAGAATTTCGAAGAGTATATATGTACGAGTTAATGCTAGCTTCCGAACGTAGTTCTTCATTTTATGGATGTTCGTTTCGTATTTAATATAAGTAGACACGTAAATGAGAAGTATAGGACGTAATATTTCATATATATAAAGTGATGGTTAAAGTAGCTAAGAAAACCAACTTTATTTTTTCATTCTGGCGACTTATGTAGGTAATGTATTTTTTTCTAAATATGTCACTTTTATTCAAAAAAAGGAGATGGAACTACGGGTAAGCACTACCCTGTTATGTCTTTCCTACACGATGAATCTTTAAAAATGATAAGTCATTAGAAAATTCCTCTAGCTTTGTTAGATATAATATACTAGCATAAACCTCCCGCAACAGTGCTGCCAGCGAATTGAAGTAAAATTTAACCTATAATGGTGATGGATGTTTGGTTTCGATTTTCCCCACACAAAGTATTCACTACTATTTTCTTGTTTTTGGATGTTTCAAAATGAATTCATAATTTGAACGATACGTTCAAATTATATTCAAATCAAAACATTCCTCTAGAAGAGACATCTCCAGAACACATTATTCTTGAGTTCACTTCATTTTGAGTAAATTGTTAATTATTATTGATTTTCGTGAAATTCCTGTTTCAAGCAGACTCCATTTCACAGACACTTCATTTACAGGACCAATATCCATAACTGTTGCCGCGCCTGGGAACATCACTAAATCAATTGAAAGCAGGTAAGTTTTGAGTAGACTCTCTCCTTGCGAGAAGGTTTGTAATTATAGTGATTCCTGAAATCTATATTTCAAGTGGATCTTATTTCACTTTTTTTAAAGATATCGTTTTGATATTATTTGTATGAAAATCTGAGCATTCAATGTTAAAATACTTTTTATTTTCTCTCTACGGAGAGAGAAAGTTATGAAATATTCACATAAAAACAGCAAATTTTCGGCAGAAAAAATCTTATTACAGGATCCTGGTAACGCAAAAGTCGGTAAATTTAGTTACTAAATTTAGAAAAAAATCGTTTATCACATGGTAAAGGCAGTATCCATTTGTGTGGGTGCTTGATAATGTGAAATCGAATGATGACCACAACCTGGCTGAACGACGCTGGGGGCTAAACCGTTCAGCCAATTTTCTCAAAAATTGATATTCCCCAATTAATCTGGTTGATATCGCGACCCCTTTGAATTTTAATCTGATATTTTAATTATTGGGGTACTTTACATGATGCTTCTGGGTCACTGTGGCTCCATTGTTTTTTATTAAATTTTGTTGTTGTGTTGATAGTGTGAAGGACGTTTAAGAGAATAGTGCAAGTCTCTCGTTCGTTAAAAATCCTCATTTTTTGAAAATTGCAAATGTTCAAAATATTTTCGGAGACTTCCTACATGTAAAATATTAAAGATAGGGATATTTCCCCTTAATGAACACTGTTCCTTAAAGATATATTTTGAAATAAGGTCATGTACAATTTTTCCAAAATATGAAAACTTTTCGCGTAATATTGCGTGAAAATACGGGCGAGAAAGTATGTGATGATTTAGCAACACTAGTTTAGCAAGGGCAAAGCAACCTGCCTATTTTGTTACACGAACAACTGACAGGTTGTGTCACCTCAGAAGAACAGGAATAATATCCATCTCTTTAGACCACGACGCATCTCTGACACATTCTCGCCGCTGAGTTTTTTTAACCAACGCCCACCCTTGGCATGCTAGCCATTTTGGTGACGCGCCGACCAATATAGACGC